GGCACTTCCTGACAACATACTCAAACTCTTTTCTCCATACTCTTTTTTTGTGGCAAATAAGACACATGGAAAGCTAACACAGGAACTGGTCAGTTTGGCTACTCCAGTAGGCTTAAAATTAGTTATCCCAGAGGTGGCGCAGAATAGAGCCAGGTTCCAATCTATTGTTTGTAGGATCACTGAGTTGTACCCAACTCAAAAACACCTGATAACAAAAGCCATCAGGTACACACTTTAGACTCCAAATCCCTGGGCTGAAACCTCCTTTATTTAGGAAACAGCTGTAAGAGTGCTGAGATGGCAAGAGTGAGTGTCAGGAGAGAAATGGTGACGGCAGAGCCAGAGAAGTGAGAGACTGCCTATAAGACACTGAACTTAGCAAGACAGCTGAGTGTTTCTAGGTAGGAAGCAGTGCTGGTGGAAAGGGTTCCCCCAGGCACTGTCCAGGTGAGGTAGGCTTGCAGACCAAAGAGCTAAGCATCTTCAAGTCTATGAGGATGGTTCTTTCAGGCACTTAACTGATAGAGGTGAAGTGTTTTCTAACATTTGCTCAGAGTCCAAGCCATAAGCTCAGGGTCCAGGGAGAGGCTGCCTATGGGCACAGTCAACTAATCCTGGCCAAAGAACTATATCCTGAGCATTCTTAAGCCTGATTTGTCAATCTAACTGTTATTTTCCTATTGTTTTGTGCCACTGAGTCAACTAGACTCACAGCAGCCCTATGAATCTTGTCCTATCTGGTGTCCTCCTCACCGTTTCTGACACTCTAGAACCCACTGTTAGAGTCATTGTGTCAATCCACCTTGTTGAAGGAATTTTCTCTGACCTTCTACCTTTCTCAGTATCTATTTTTGTAAAAACTGACACCTCTTGACAACATGCCCAAAGTATGTGAGATGAGGCACAACCAGGATGCTCCTTAGAGAAAAGGATGATGAAACTTCATTCCTTCCCAAATAAACCCTGTAATTTATGGGTTGTTGTTATGTGCCGTCCAGTCACCTACGACTCAGAGCGACCCTATGTACAACTCCCTAAACCCTGCTCTATCATGTGCCAATCTCACTGTCTCTGACACACTTATCCCCATTACCTCAGTGACGGAATCAATCCATCTCATCGAGGGTCTTCCGCTCCTGCGCTGTCCCTCCACCCTCCCAAGCATGATGTCCCTCTCCAAGGACTGGTCCCTCCTTGCAACATGTCCAAAGTACATCAGACGAAGCTTCAGAATCCTTGCCTCCAAGGAGCAACCTGGTTTCACCCTCTCAAGGACAAACTTGTTTGTTTTCTTAGCAGTCCAAGGTATATTCAATATTCTTCTCCAACACCACAGCTCAAAGGCATCAATTCTCCTTCGATCATCCCTAGTCATTGTCTAGCTCTCTGATGTATAGCAAGTGATTGCAAAGACCATGGCCTGTATCAGGTACATCTTAGTCTCCGGACTGACACTGTTGCTCTTCAGTACTTTAAAGAGGTCTCTCTAACCACAGACTTTCCCATCACAGTACGTCTTTTAATTTCCTGGCTGCTGGTAATGTTTGTCAGTTCTGTGTGACCATTACAATGATATATGGAACTCAACAGAGAAGTACAGAATGCTGCAGAAGGTATGGCTGGTGTCAGAATTTGTTAAAAAACCAAACAAAACAAAAACCAAAAAATCTCAAAAACAAACCAACTACCCACCTATAAAATGTCTATGAGGGCATTTCTGTTCTATCCTGTGTAAGAGCCAGTCTTGGGGCCAATGCTACCTCCATGCTGTTTTTACAGTGACCTTATCACAGCATCATACAGGGCTCCAGCAGACTTTGGTCATATTTGGATTAGGAGCCTAAATGTCATCTTTCTCACACTGACTGGAGCTACAAGCTCGTATTTAGATCACACCTCACCCACTTCAACTTCCCCATTTATTGGGAGGAAAGAATAAACCATTCTTGCCCAAGTTGTGGAAGTCATTAGAGGAATGAATGGAAGGTATGTTCCTCTAGGACCGGAGAATGTACAAGATGGAGAGGGAAAAATAGACAGGGCAGCAGCTTCCACCAGCTGTTCTTAGGAGGTAATGGAAAAAAAAAAAGAAAAAAGAGGTAATGAGCCCTTCCTGCTCTGCTAAACCTGACCCATGCCTAGAAAACAAACCTTGAGTGACATGGAGCTGAAAATGTCAAGTGTCCTAGGCAGTTCAGGACCTACACAACTGTAGGATGGGAGATGACTATAGTTGCTGAATGGAGAAAGAGTTAGGTAAATCCAGAAAGCAGGGCTCAAAGAGGCTTCTCAAAAGAAACAGAAAATTGAAGAGCTGTGGAATGCACATGGGATTCCCAAAGGCATACGTGAAGGAGAAAGAGTGTCTAATCTAATTATGGCTAGTGGAATGGTAGGTGAAGAAGAAAGAATATTAAGTAATAATGAAGGCCCAAACCAGATGGGTAAGTTAATAGATAATAAATTAAATCAGGACCTTCAGGAGGTAGGTAGCAGGGATCATGTAAGATTAAACAATGGCAAAAAATGATATGGTAACAAAGTGAGAGAGATCATGAGCACAGCAATGAAGAAACTAAGCCGTGAACAAGATTAGGAGGTGGAATGACAACACTAAAGTAGAAAAGCATTTATTGAAGGACTCTCTATGTACCAGGCCCTGCACTAGCTACAACACACCAGTTTACCTAACTCTACCCCTTCACCCTCCTAGTAGGCAACCAATTCACCTCACTTTGGAGGCAACCTAGCAACCAATGTGACACATAACACATTAAAGATACTCAGATCCAAACATACCTGGTCTCAGAACCCAGATTCATGTTTGAAACTACACCTTGAATTCTGCTTCGAACAAAGATCAAGCTTCTGCTCCAATACAGGCACACATACCTAACCTGGCTCCCACAGGTTCCCACCATGCCCTCCTTCCTCACCCCTCCTAATATGTGCCTGAACGTACGTGCACACAGAGGAATTGACAGCCCTAAAACACTTGTCCCTCTGGAAGCCGCAACTGAGACAACAAAGGTGATAAACCTGGCCCAAAGTCACAAAGCCACTTAGCCCTGTACTAATCTCTTAACCATCCATGGGGTTGTGAGAGGGAGTCGGGGTGGAGAAGCAGGCGCATAGCTGAACTTGAAGAAGGATCACTCCCAACTTAACCTGTTTGTGTTTCTCTTTCACTAAATTGGGACCCTTGCAGGAGCGCCCAGCCCTCTCACATATCCAGGGCCAGTAGAGGCCAGTTCAAAAAGAAACTCTACTACCGACAGACACACAACCAGGGCCACAGATCAGGGGAGACATACTCTAGGTTCTGAGACCTGTGCAGACATAAGAAAGCCCAGTTCCAAGTCTACCCTTCGTAACTCTCCCACCAAGGTCTTACTTTCTGCACTCAGCTTGAATTCATTGACTCCTCTATACAGTCACTGAGAGTCCCCTTAGTCTCTTAGAGAGGCAGCAGAAAGCTCCCAAGAGGCCAGGAACTGCCTGAGGCTGAGTGGCAACAGAAGAGTAGAACCAGCAGTCACAAGGTGATCTGGCCAAGGGAGGAGTGTGTGCAACAGAGGGGCACACAATGTCAACGAACCAACAAGCTACTGGCATACGCACTATACACCTGTCACCCAGCCAAGCCTGTTCAAGTACTCAATCCTGAGAACCACCTATCAGTGTGGGCAATGTTGAAGGGCCCAAGTCCAAATCAAGGTATAACCACCAAGACAGTAATCTCTCCTTCCTCAACTCCTAAACCAGATCTAGGCATTAAGGAGGTGTGGTGTTAAAAAAAATTTAAAAATTTAAAAAATCTCATCGATCCCAATTCATAACCACTTGATAGAGCAGAACTGTCCAGAGTTTCTAAGACAGTAATTTTTGGTGAAGGAGACTGCCGTACTTTTCTGCCATGGAGTTAACGGTGGGTTTGAACCACCAACCTTTCACTTAGCATCCTAGAGCTTAACCACTGTGTTACAAAGATTCCTGCAAGATGGCAGGTGACCCCGTTTTCACAGGTACTCTCCCAGAAGTCCCCAGTGCTTCCCCCTCATCTTCCACCACTAGGAGGCCCTCTCTGGCTGCATGAAGGGTCTAATCTTCCAAGTGGAAATTGAACAGGAAATCTATATCTGTCCATGACAATCACAGTCTGGTATTAGCACCCCAATCAGCTATAATATTTGCAGGGCCTTCTTGATGGCACAGCGAGAAAGGTTCTGGGAGAAAGCAGCAAAGCATACCAGTTGGTAAAAGAAATAATGGCAATGAGGAGAGCATGGCTTGATTGAAAATGTGCAAAACCCAGCCTCTGACTCCTTTGAGCTCTTGTTCCTTAAACTTATAACACTCAGGAAGAAACTGGGAAGGAGCTGTATCCACAGCCAGCAAGTCATTTGCCCAAAGGTGACACAGTAGCAGCAGTGACAAGGACTTGGGCTTAATCTTTCTCAACCAGCTGGCTGAATCTGGCAGCCTCAGCTTGTGGCCCAGCATCCCCCTCTCCCTCTCTCACAGTGGAGGGATGCCATGATCACAGACGTCCCTGCATTTCCCCGAAGAAGTCAAGGCTGCTCCCTAAGCCTGGCTTCCAAAAGCCACACTGGGCTGACATCCTCCTGAAAGTGGGCCAGTTGCAGGCTAACTCTCTAGAGGCAGAAAGCTGGGTGGATACAAGGTACTGCACCTGGGAACCAAAGGACTTCAGGGTCCACCGGGGATCTCCGTGGCTCCACCCTAAGGGTCTGTACGATTCGGGTAGGGAAGAAACCCTGGGCCTCTTCCAAAAAAAGCATCTCCCGCTCTAGTCCCTCGCCCATTAGATAAGTGACCCTGAGCGTTGAACGCTTCCCTGTCGATGACCCCTCCACCCCATGAACCCAGTCAGGCTGAGCCCCCTTCCCGACTTGACTTGCAGGGCGTGGCGAGGGGTCGGTCGGGTAGGGCCAGCCGGCTTCCAAGGGAGGGCGTGGCCTGGGCGCCCCGCAGCTCACCTCTTTGAGCTGCTCCATCTCCCCACGGATGGCCTCATAGTCCACCTCAAGCTCCTCAAATTGCAGTTTGAGCTGGTGCTTCTCCTCGAGAACCGCCAGCCCGTACTCTGCCGCTTGGATCTTCTCGCGCGTGGTTTCAGCCAGCTCATGCGAGAGCCGTTTCACCTCGGCTCGCAGCCACTCGGGCTGCGCCTCCATCACCAGCCGCGCGTATTCTTCCTCTTCCGAGGGTGCCGACATGGTGGCGCGCAGGCACGGCCACAGGCACCGCAAGCCAGGCAAACGCACGCTGGCTCTGTCTCTGCGTTCACCGGTCACCGCCGCCCATTCCCGACGGTCGCCGAGATCCGTGGATGCGCCGTCGCCGTCGTCTCCGCGTGGCGAATTGTGGGGGCTGTAGTTTTCCTCCCGAGGGGTTGTGGGGGCTGTAGTCTCTGCCTGCGCCCACTGCAAGGCCATGGTGCACCGCGTTGCTCTCCGCCAGCCCGGATTGGCTCGCGCCACCACATCACGAGACTAGCTCTGGGGGACCCCGCAGTCAGGCTAGCTTGCTGGGCCTCCTCTTGGAACTCTTTGTGATTATACATGGCAGTAGTCCCAGTTGGCTAGACCCTTGCAGCCCGCGGACAGGCTCTTTGCAGCCCCGGGATCTTCTAGGGCAAGGTCATTTCCTGGGTTTTAGGTTACTTGGGCCTGGCCGCAGGGATTGCAGGTATCGTGCGTTCCAGATCCGGATCAGAGGCCATTTGGCGCCTACCCAGACTGTGACCTGGGCAAGTGACTCATCCTCGCCAACCTCCACTTACCCAGGTGTGCAGGGGAGCGTAGGACTTTGCTCATGGCAGGGTCCTCGTGAGGATAAAGCTCCTCCAAGGATGCTGTCTTTTTAAGAGCCAACTATAAAAAAGTAAGCATACTACTATAAAACAAAGGCGCGTGCTATGAAAGACAGAGAACGTCAGACTTGGGACAGTAAATCTGCTACCACAGCAGAGGATAGGAATTAGGGTGTCATCAGGTGAGAGTTTGTTTTCCTGAGTAGAGCCTAAAGCTCTCAGATATGACCCAATCTAGGATAGATGTGTCAAGAATGGGGCAACCTCAGAAAAGCATGTGAGCCACGCCAGAGATTGTGTTTTTGCCAGTCTAGGAAAAAATGGGTGCCTCAGTCAGAGTGGGTGCCCGCTCTAATTTGGGGGCTGATTGCAGGCATCCCTTAGATCTAGTTTCTTTCCACGAGCCTGATGCATTGAACACTAATGAACTAGGATGGCAAAGGATTGGACAAGATTTCAGTCTGCTACTCATAAAGTTGCTGTGAGTTGTCAGACTGACAGCACTGAACAACAATAACATCAATATCATATGCAAGTAAAACCTTGCTAAAGATTAATTTTAAATGGCTAAAATAGTATTTGAACAGGGAGCTGCCAGAAATTCAAGCTGCATTCAGAAGATAGAATGGCAGGTAGGACATCATTGCTGATACCAGATGAATCTTAGCTGAAAGCAGAGAATACCAGGAACATGTTTACTTGTGGGGTTTTTAAATTATGTGGTAATGTTTGACTATGTGCTCATAACAAATAATAACGTTGCAAAGAATGGGAATCTCAGAACACTTAAGTGTGCAAAACTTATACACAGACCCAAAACCCTTTTCTGAACAGAACAATGGAATGCTGCATGGTTTGTAATCAGGAAAAATGTGTTAAAGTTGTATACTTTCTCTGGAGCTAGTCAGTCTGAATACTGAGCAAATCACTCATGAAGCTAGACTCTTATGAAAACAAATGTGCCATCAAAATTGGAAGAAGACTCATCATCCTGTATTATGCAAATGACACAACCTTGCTCACAGAAACTGCAGAAGACTTGAAGCACTTGCTTCAAAATCAAAGACTACAACCTTCAATATGGATTATATCTTAACATCAAGAAAGCAAAATTCCTCACAACTGGAATAGGAGGCAACATCATTATAGATGGAGAAAAGATTGAAATTGTCAGCAACTTCATTTTACTAGATCCACTGTCAATACTCATGGTAAATGCAGTCAAGAAATCAGAAGACGTGTTACATTGGGAAAAATCTGCTGTCAGGGACCTCTCCAAAGTGCTAAAGAGCAAGGATATCTATTTAAAGAGTAATGTGTACCTGATCCAAGCCAAGGTTTTGCTACTTGCTTCCTACGCATCTGAAAGTTGGACAACAAATAAGGATAGCAGAATCATCAATGTCTTTGAGTTGTGGTCTTGGAGAAGAGTTATGAATATCCCAAAAGAATCCTGTCTTGGAGGAAGTGCAACCAGAGTGGTCTCTAGAGGCAAAGATGGTGAAACTTTGTTTCCATACTTTGGGCATATTATCAGGAGGGCCAGTCCTTGGGAAAAGACATGGTGCAAAGTTGAAAGATCAGAGAAGGAGAGGAAAACCTTTAACAAGATGGAATGATGTGGTTCTAATAATGGGTTTGAACATATCAGAGATTGAGGATAGCACAAGATTGAGCAGGATACAAATCTGTTTTTAATGGAATGACTGAGTAGTCTACTGGACAGCACATAATAACAACAATGAACACAGTATTACCTGATGCCTAAATGTTGAAAAATTGTAAACTAAGTATTGAAAAGAATGTATAAGGACTAAAACTCTCACTCTCATTCAGTGCTGATTTGTTGATGCCATTTAGTTTACTATCACTCAAAGTAACCCTATGTAAAACAGATCTAAACCTGTGGGATGCTGCTCTATTCTCACATCTCCACAGTGTTCAAGCCCACTGTTGCAGCCATTGGATCAATCCATCTTGAGATATAAATATACACATATAGCTCTCTGCTTCTCTGACCCTCCACCCTTCCAAAGATAATGTCCATTTGCAAGGACTGGGCCCTCTTGAAGACATGCTCAAACTATATGAGATAAAATTTCTCCAACCTTACCTCTAGTGAGCATCTTCATTGCACTTCTTCTAAGATCTATCTTTTCTTTGGACAGTCCTAGTGTGTTGGATTATGGGCAGTCCATGGTGTATTGTTAGATAAAAGTTCTGAATGTTCCATGGACTGCCAAAAGAACAAACAGATAAGTCTTGTAGAAATTACAAATAGAGTGTCCTTAGAAGCAAACATGAAAAATTTCAGTCTCACATACTTTGGACATGTTGCTAGAAGAGCCTGTTCCTTGGAAAGGGACTTCATGCTTGGAAAGGTGAGGGTCCATGAAAGAGAGGAAGACTCTCAGAGATAGATTGACACAGTGACTGCAGCATAATTCATCAAATTATGAAGATGCCTTTGCATAGTCATTAAAACACAAATTGAGATCTTTCTCATACTCTGCTTTCACCCAAGATCCATCTAACATAACAATGATATTTTCCATGTTGTTGTTGTTAGGTGCTGTTGATTTTAGTAAGACAATGAGCCTATGAACAACAGATCTGGACCCTCTCCTGTGCCAACTTCACAATCCCTGACACACTCAAGCCTATTTCTTGAGTCACTGTGTCAATACCTGGTTAAGGGTCTTCCTCTCTTCCGCCATTCCTCTACCTTTCCAAGCATGATATCCCTCTACAAGGAATAGCCTCTGCTAACAACATGCCCAGAGTATGAGAGAGGAAGCTTTACCATCCTTTGCCTTAGGAGCACTACGGCTGCATCTTCTCTAAGACATATATGTTTGTTCTTTTGGCAGTTCATGGAATACTCAATATTCTTCTCCAACATCACAGTTGAGAAGCATTTTTTTTCTTCTGTCATCCTTATTAATTAATTGTCCAGCTCCCAGATGCATAGCAAGTGATTGAAAAGACCACATTCAAAATCAAGCTCACTTTAGCTCTCAAACTAACATCATTGCTCCTCATTCATTTGAAGAGATCTCTGCCATCTTCATTCAGAAGCCTTGATCATGAAATTCCCATCAGACCTTGCTCACAGCTCTGGGCAAATGGCAGCAAAGAAAAAGGATATTCTATCTGTCTCCTTACAGGCCCTTAGGCCAAGTGAGGAGTACAGCATATCAGAGACATCCCCCTCATCTGGACCATGATCCTGCTGTGCTGGCTGAAATGGAAAACCAGAGACATCAAGCCACAAGATGATGGTCCAGGAGCAGAGCTCAGAGACATGGACCTTAATCTAAAGGTGCCAGAGACAGAAAGCCTTCCCTGAGCTGGTACCTGGGATTTGGGCTTGGAGCCCCCTAAACTGTGAGACTTACCCTGTCAGCTTGTTGAATTGGAGGAACGATGTTCATATTGCTAATTACTTTGAAGTGTGGGTAGCTGAATTCTCACTTATTTATCATTGTTCTAATTAGTTCTGCACTTGTCTGTCCATTTGCTGCTGTACTGAGGTAACTTGTGAGTGCTGTGAAGCTAAGGACTATGCCACCAATATATTAAATGCCAGATGGGTCATCCATAGTAGACAGGTTTTAGTGGAGCTCCTGGATTAAGATAGGCTAAGAAGAAGGATTGACTATTTCTTTCTTTATTTTTAAATTATCTCTTTTAACATTTATCTCCCCCGCCCCTTTCTTTTTTTTTTGTTGTGTGTACCATCAAGTTGGATCTGACTAGAACAGGAGAAGATCTTTCACCAGTGGAGCATTTGGTGGATTTAAACCACACGCCTTCAGGATTTGAGCCCAGCTTCTTGCCATTAGGCCACCAGAGCTCCTGGCTATTCTGAAATAGTAGATCTTTGAAAACCCTATGAACAGTAGGACTTGTGCCATGGCCTCTTCTAAATCCAGTTTTCATTTTCAGCAGTTCCCTGTAAGTGCAATGCTTCAGTCTTTAAAAAAGAATCTTCAGGCCATTCCTCAGAAAAAGGAGGACAATAGATTTAAGGAGAGGAGACTACAGTAAGAGGAAATTCCCACAGGGTGATACTGCAGACCAGAGAGGACTGTGGGAGGAGTGTGTGAAACTCCCCTGGAGAAAGACTCCTTCATTTGGTGATCCCTGTCACCATGGGGCCATCATAGGAACCAAAAAGACAACTGGCATGCTGAAGGGCTCAGGCGAGAACTACCTTCAAATCACTCTAGATAGAAACTGCTTAAGTTGGAACACCTGGTCACACACCACCCTACAGACATAGGAGGACAATAGTCTTCACGGGAGAAAACTACAATCAGGTTAGGGGCTCAGAGTATCAGAAAGGACTTCAAATAGAATGAACTGCCAACTCCCATAGATTTAAAATGTTAAGGTAACAAC